GCCGCCGACAATTGACTGTTAATAGATTTGGTATCGAACTTGTGTCCTGTCGAGTGAAACCACACTTTTCTAACCACTCGAACATGACGGTCGCCTTTTGTACTTTCACCTATAAAAACTAACAATGATGAACAGAGGCGTACAGTTCTTTGGAAAGGCGCGCCTATTCCTAACAGCGCGATGTACTTCGACACTATAGCCAATTTGCGACCATCGATACGCACGTTAACACTTTTGGGACTCTGGCCCGTCAAAAATGGCACTGGCGCAAAGTTCGAGCAATATTATCGATATTATCAGCTTTTATTACAAGTTTCATTCACTTTCATTCTTGCCACGCTTATGTGGCTGGAGGTAATTTTTATTCAAAATATGGAGTATGCCAGCGAAGTATTGAAGATTGCACTTTCTGAAACGGTTGTTGTCCTAAAAGTTCTCAACATTTGGCGTTTTGCACCTAATGCGGCAAAGTTGCTGCATGAATGGGAGCAGAGTGAATTTTTCGTGCCTCGCACGCCACAAGAACAATTAATGTGGCGACGTGCGCAAAACGCTTACAAAAAAGTATTGGCTTTTTATAGGATTTGGAGCATAATTTGCGTGCTTTTAGCTTTCCTGTCAGTTGTTTTCATGGAGACACCTCAGCTACCAGTTCCGTATTGGATTCCAGTCAAAAAATGGCGAGAAGGCAATGGCTGGCCGTTATATTTGTATGATTTCGTGGCGGTGATATTCACTTGTTGTTGCAATATTGAAATAGATTCTTTACAATGTTATTATCTATTGCATTTAACACTTTGTTTGCGGCTCATCGGTNGAAATTAATTCAAATGCAGCAGCGCGTGAAGGAGTAAGTTTTTTTTGTTTTTGTGAAAGACCTTGAGTTACTTTTCGTTTTACTTTTATTACATTTTACGTTACAAAAAAAAAAAAACAAAAAAAATTAGCATGGTCAAACGTTGCGAGGAGATTGTATCGCTACCTGTTCTCGTGCAGATTATATTCAGTTCGATGATTATTTGTTTTACAGCTTATTATCTGCAAAGTGTAAGTTCTCTTTGGAATT